TATGATTCTCGCTTAGGGTGCGAGAGGTCCCGGGTTCAAATCCCGGCCGGACCCGTTTTTTTAAAAATTATTTTTGCTAAGAAATTTTAATTTTTGTGAAATATAATGTGTTTTAGGGTAAATTGAATGGTTTTCCTTCATGATTGCTATAAAACATTAACTAATTTCTTGATATATACCGCTAAAACTCTGCGGTGGTGGATAGACGTAGTCAACGTTATACTTTATTTTTACGAACAGACTTTAGTCTATTTAAAATATTTTTTTAATTAATTTCTTTATTTTATAATGCTAACAAAATTGGAGCACATGTAAATACCAATCAATATATGGCGGCCTTCTTTGTAAAAAGGAAAAACGAGGGCGACATTTAATTTCAAGAAATGCGTACATTAAAAGGAAAACAAATCAAATCAATTTTTATGAAAATTGTCATTAAGTTCAGATTTTATACCTCAATTAGAAACTGATGTTTAGCAGTGAAAAATATTGCTGTTACCCTCATTTAATTTATTATGATATTTACTTTTATTCAATATGGTTCATTTAATAGTTATTAAACGCATTTCTGGTAAATAAAACTTTCGTCATGTTAAGGAAATCATGAGTCAATTGCTGAAATATTGCATTACCCTATTTGTAAATTTAAAACTAATGCAATTTTCACACTTTAAAATGAAACAGTAAAGAAAATTAATAAAATGACATTTTATAATTTATTATAAATTCGAAAGGTTTAAAATTATCAAGATTAACAAATTTGCATTTTAATTTCGTGCCACGCAAGAACACAGAAAGAAACATAGAAATATTTCTATAATACTACAAACCAAATAAATTATGCGGTATGAAAACATTTGTAATTTACATTGAATTAAGAATTATGGTTAAAATGATAAGACTCTCTAAATGAAAGCTGATAAGAATACAAAAAATGCAACTTATAAATTTGCAAGTAAATCAAAAACCAGAAAATGACTGTTAAGGACTCATACTATTATAATGATGCAGCCAAATACGAGCAGAAATATATATTAACAAAATGATTGTTATAAAATAAGCAAAATATAAATCTTGGGAAAATAAAACGAATACACATGAGTCATAAAAAATGCAAAATTCGCTGCTAACAAGCGAAAAATTACCGAAATTTGGGTGATTCGTTTTAATACAATTTATTCAGGATTACTTCTTATTTCATTTTAACAATAAATAAAAATTATAAAATATATTTTATAATAGCCTTGATACTATGATAATAATATTAATAATTAACCTATGAGATAAATTTTAAAATTAAACATTAAAATAAAATTGAAAAAAACTTTAAAACATTAAAATAATATTAGATTATTTATTAGGAAAAAAAATGCAAGTTAGAAATTAAAAAAAATAGAAATAAAAAGAATTTACCAAACATTTTTGTTTATCTTTGTTCTTCATTGGTAGGCCTCATGTACCACTAATGTATCGCACAAACAGAAATCCCTCTCTAACAGGTGAAGGAAGGGCAATGCCATCGGAAGGACTTTTTAAGGGTATGTGCCCCTCATTTGCGTCTAGTATACTCATTTGGTTTATATATGGGGTTATATATATGAAGGTTTATATATGTGGATTATGAATGAATTATGTTATTTTTTATAAATTTTTATTAAATTTTATTACATAAAGAATTTATCAAATTCTCGAAAAATTTTACAAGGAAAACTTGTTTCAAATATGTCATTTATTTTCACGAAACTGTCTTTTCTGATTTTCAATGTTTCAATTGTAAATTATTTTTGCATTATTAATCACTAAACTAAGAAATCAAATTATTTTCATATGCAAATTCCAAATATAATTCAATCGCATCACAATATTTCTTTGAATTCAAAATTTTATACGTAACAGGAAATTGGAATTGTAAATTTTTTGCTTTTGTTAAAGTATCATCATCAGGCTATGCACACATGTACATATTCGTTCATGTCTTATAGTTGTTTAACCTCGGAAAACAATGACATCATATAACAACCAATCGATGCTTTGTTTTCTCATATGGTATATAAAACTCCATATTTTACGAGACTTCCAGGTAAAATCTATATATTTTATTCTTTCCGGTGTAAGAGTGTGGTTCGGTGGTCTAGCGGTAAGATTTCCGCTTAGGGTGCGAGAGGTCCCGGGTTCAAATCACGACCGAACCCATATGGAGTTTTTTTTTTCTTTTTGTTAAATGCTCAACATTTTTTTGTACGATGATGGATCATTTTACCTAATTTTTTCTCTTTTTAAAAATAGAAGCAAATATATATATGCTATTAGAATTTATCAATTATTTAATGATAACAGAAATCACGATATAATTTTTTGTTGCTAATATATATAAGTAATGCAATTGTTTTTTATTTTGATCATTTTCTGAATTATGTTAAATTAACTATTTATTGTTATATATAGCCAATAATATTGCAAATAAAAAATACATGTTATTCTAAGAACACTTCCACAAATTTGGAGGATTTCAAATTTTAAGTATTATATATATAATATTCATATTCACATAAAATATGTTTTCACAGATAGGGGATTTCAATATTTGTTTTTCTTGATATTCATTCTTATATTTCTTAAGAAGATTAAATGTCTTAATTCTTTCTAATTCTTATGGTAATTTCCATTGGTGCAGTGTAAAAATAAAACACTTACTGTTGATTGTTGCATATCATTTCGCATTCGTTTTTCTTGATTGAGGTCTTTAGAATTTTTTTTCTTTACGAGACAGATACTTATTTTTTTTACTGCATGGGATCTAGTTTGCGCATGTTTGACTCATGGTTCAATGGCAACGTGCGCCGCTGATGAGCATTAGGGCTATTATTCAATCGTCTGCATTGTAGAGTGTGCCTACAATGTCTACAATAATGCTCCAACTATACAATAGGCTGTATTGTATAAGCGGGGCATTATTGTAGACAGTTTAAAAAATGAAGAGAATCGATAGCGTTTGTGATGTAAGCATCTTGACTCCTTTGTCAGACTACCAGGGGGAGTTTTCCGTGTTTTTTCCCATACGATATGCAGATAAGGGGTAGTTCATCCTAAAGGTTCTACCAGTAGTATCTAGAACAATGACCACTGAGGGCATTGTTGTAGACACTGCTTGAAAAACCAAGACACTCGATGGCATTTGGGATGTTCAACATCTTACCTCGTTAGTTAGACTACCTAGTGGGAGTTTTTCCGGATGTTTTCCCATACGATACACACATGCTGATAGTTTCCTCTAAAAGTCCACTGAAGACACTGTCCTCCTTCTTCAGCGACTTGGAGCCAAGTCAGGCTTCTACTTACGGCTGCTCCAGAACAACAGAAGGTGCTCCTTTTCCCTCCATTTACTCATGGGGTGTCTGACTACTCATGGGGTGTCTGACCACCGCTGCCAGACATTGACGATTAGGGACACAAGAGATTGCACATGGTGTAACGACGTGTGAACTTCAAAGTGGTGAATGCTTTATATCAAGAGCCCGGAATTAATATAAGAAAATAAATATTTTGAAGTACAATAAGTATTACAATAAGTAACTCATGGAATAGAAGCACTTAAACTCATCTGAGGTTGAAAACTATTTCTAGCAGCAATTATTATATGCCAATATTTTCTAAGTAAACACTTAAATAAAATTTAATAAACTCATCTAGCTTCGAAAACTTCATGTATCGTGTATTTATTACGAACTTTATTAAAAACTACTTTTTTTGTCTTACAATAATAATCAAAATAGTGTAAGAACTTTATGAATATTATCCATACAGAATGTTACTTGAAGCTTATTTTTCTTAAACGGGTTATCTAAAGCTAGAAAACTGATTGGATGGAAATCTAATTTTCTTTCCTTTCCGTTCTTTTCTCCTTGATCAGGTTATGTTAGAAGAAAAGTGGTAATTTCGGGAGAGAACGGAAAATTCATTTCATTACAGAAGTGCTCATTTCTCCTTAACAAAATTTACTGATTTAAGCAGAAAGGATAAAAACTCACAATTCCTTGTATAAACCCATACTTATAACAGTTAATAATAACTTTTTTCTCATATTAGAATAACAAAAAGCCACATCTGGTAAGAAATATATGAGAATTGTTTTAAAATTACTTGCTTAATTTTGTTTTTTTAAATAAACATTATATTCAAGGCTTTAAATTATTCTTTGTTTAAAGAACGCAGCTGATAAAAATGAACAGAAAGACAATTATTTTTATTTCTAGCTGAAATTAAATAATTGAATGATATATAATTTTCTTGGATAAATAAATTTTGGTGTCTAAATAATTTCCAAATATACAGCTATGATTTTATGCTATGATTTTTCAGTTTTCATGAATAAGAAAAAAAAATGCAAAAAATAGAGTTATACAAAGATAAAAAAAAAATATTTTTCGGTTAATGAAAATAAATAAGAATATATTAAATAATAATAATATTTTTCATATAAGAAACATCTGAAATATTTGTAAAACAGGATCATTTGAGAAAGATTTAAAATTGTTGATGTAAAATATATTTTTATATAAAAGATTTATACATTTTTAAATATAGGGCAACTATATCAAATTTAAATCATTCTTTTTTAGGATCAAATGCAATAATTTTCGGAGGGAAGAGTTATTAAGAAATATTTTCTTCTCTAATATTATGTTTCATAATATAAATAGTTTTATTACTTTTAAATAAGGTTAATATATCTTTTGCATATAAGATTTTTTATAAAAGACATTTAAAAATATTTAAATTTCTAGTTCATCAAATAAAGACAAAAAAAAAAAAAAAAAAAAAAAAAAAAAAAAAAGACTAAACTGGCTTAGGATTTCAATAATTTTTAAGATCTTTGATTATTCGAAAAACAATATTTAATAACTAGGATTACAATCACTTTTTATATTTCAAAATTATAGTTAATAAATAATATTTAGTCGCTAACAAATTCTTTAAATATTTGAAAATAAAATAACTCAGGGTTCGGCAGGGATTTGAACCCGGGACCTCTCGCATCCAATACCGAGAACCATACTCCTAGACCACCGAACTACGTTAAGTAGTGCCGATAAAATCTTTTATATCTGTTTGACGTAGAATGTATGTGAGATGTTAAAAGACATGTGTACCTTTGCTTTTCCAAATAAAAATAACTTCTTTTAAACATTTAGAAAGAGTTTGAGAGAGAGAGAAGAGTTGAATTTGAGAGAAGAGTTGTCTTAATGTTCAAAAAATACATTTAAAATTATATCGTAAAAAAAATATTGAAATTGTAATGAAAATTTATTTGATTTTTATAAATTCTATCACAAGTTATAAATTATAGAGTTAGAAAGTTAGAAAAAATGTTGTATAATGTAGTACTTAGCAATTAACAAAAAATATCTCAGTTAGAAATATGCAGGACGTAACATTTAAAGCTCATTAATTATTAAAATAAATAAATAACCAATTTGAAAAAACGTTTGATCAACTTTACTTTTACACGACTTTTTTACTAACACGACTTTAAAAAATACTAATATCTCTCTGATTAGTGAAGGATAACCGATTTTTAAGCACAGAAACAAAATTTTACTAATTACATATTAGACGAAAAAAAAATTGCATCAGATCACCTATCTCTTGGATATGTTAGATTTAGGTGTTCAAGAATTTTTGTTGCAAGAAATCAAATCTATGTTAATTAGTTTTCCTTACATTTCAAAATTTAAAACGATTAATTCTAACAAATAACATTTATTACAATTAATGTTTGGAATACATTAATGATGTTCTACAAATAGAAAAATAAACACCATGATTTATAAATTAAAGAATCTACAGCCGGTGTCTAGTTGTGCGAATATGGAGGCATTCGGACATGCTCAATGCACCTCAGTTATATGTTAGTGTCCCAGACAAGCAAGAAAATGTCTGCAGCGGTTGTTGTATTATAAAAATATATTAAATATGTTATAAAAAATACATGAAAACTATGGATTCTGAGTTCCATAAAATAAAGAGTCACATATGGAGAATGCATGGAGCTCTTTGTAGAATAAGAAATATTTTAATGAGAGAATATTACCAAAATTGCTGCATACTAAGAAATTCAAAGTGCAATGCATATATTGATTAACAAATATTTATTATTTGTAATCAAGAAACAGAAGTATTCCATGAAGATTAGCTTATTTCTAAATACATTACAACTCTAAAATTGACCGAGTAGAATTCTGAAATAATTCATGTGAAAGTCGTTGAGTAGAATTTTCAGACATATTGACATTTATAATTTAAATCATACAAACTTTCGTATAATTATTGAGTACAATTGCCTTCTGTACTTCTGTAATGTTCCCATAGAAAAGACATCTTATTTGAGATCAACATTAATTATACCTAATCAAATTTGCTTTTTCGAAAATATAAGAAGACCACATAAAATTTATTTTGATGTGTTCATTTATGTGTTTCATTAATAAAATACAATGAAAAAATATACTTTTTTTTAAATACTCATATTGTAATTAATAAATCTATCGTTTTAAGGAAAACAAATGGTGTTAATTATACCACATTTATCTCCGTTGTTGTATAGTGATGAGTTTACGCCCTAGGTTAACAGAAATTTTAAAAACCATGACAGCCGTATTTGTAATAATCAGAAGTCTTAAATATTTATCGAAAATGAAAAGGACACAGCCAAGATCAACGTGCTTAACATCCATGTTGGCACAAGACGCATTTGACTTATATGTTGGAAACTTTGCTGCTCTGTAAATTTAGTCAAATTTCATCTTTGTAAAAAATGACAGTTAGCTTTTGATGTCAGAGTTGTAATCAAGTAATGAAGATAATTTCTAGAAATTCCAGAAATTGAAGTCTCCAAAACCTACGGACAACACCGTTGTACTTTTCAATTGAATATTCATTAAAACTATTACATACCTGCAAAGATTTGGCGATATGGAACAGAATATCTCTGGAGAAGTTGATAAAATAACATGTAAACCGCCACTTACCTATTGTCATGAAATCAATAAGCATTTATACATCCGCTGATCCACTAATGGAGCTCACATAAAATTTTATCAATCTACAAATTCTTGTTTAAATAACATTTGAAATGCCACATTACTGTTGTTAAGAGATCAATTATCTTTTTTTTGATTGAGGCACTAATGATGTTTAGATTAAATTTTATCAATCTACAAATTCTTGCTTAAATAACATTTGAAATGCCACATTACTGTTGTTAAGAGATCAATTATCTTTTTTTGATTGAGGCACTAATGATGTTTATATTAAATTTTATCAATCTACAAATTCTTGCTTAAATAACATTTGAAATGCCACATTACTGTTGTTAAGAGATCAATTATCATTTTTTTTGATTGAGGCACTAATGATGTTTATATTAAATTTTATCAATCTACAAATTCTTGCTTAAATAACATTTGAAATGCCACATTACTGTTGTTAAGGGATCAATTATCATTTTTTTGATTGAGGCACTAATGATGTTTATATTAAATTTTATCAATCTACAAATTCTTGCTTAAATAACATTTGAAATGCCACATTACTGTTGTTAAGAGATCAATTATCTTTTTTTTGATTGAGGCACTAATGATGTTTATATTAAATTTTATTAATCTACAAATAAATAAAAGATTCTTATTCAACCTAAATTTAAGTTAATGACGCATTTTTTTTTCTCAATATAATATCCTATTTTTGAAACCTTTAACCATCGACTCTTTACATACCATAAATCATTTAACTCACAGTCAGTTATTACTTCCTTGCATTATAAATATTTCATGATGCTTATTTTTTTCATCATGAAAATTTTCTAGAAGCAAGGCACTATTGGGTCATACTGAACTATTTCTCATCTTATAAAATTTGTTACTAATACCCTGTTTTACATAAATTGAGAGTCATTTATTTTTTCTGTCTTCCACGAACGAACGAAGAATTTTACAACATACAGTTTTATCGTCTCAACTCCAGAGAGGATATTTTTGATTAAAATATTCCGCCTCTGCTACCTTAGTTCAAAAACTACTGTGTCCTCTCACGGCTGCTCTCCAAGGTGGCTGCACAATTTTGAGATAATATTATTTAAGATTTGATATTATTGCCTGTTTTATCTCTCTTTCTCTCTTTTAAGGTAACATTAGTTTATTTACACCCATTAGAAGTTTATTTAATTTACTTTTAAAGAAAGGGAAAAACAATTTTGAAGGTCTTTTAAAGTATTATCGTTGAATGTTGTTTTCTTGAAATATGTAATTTTGAATTTTAATGTACCTTTTAAAAAAAATAATAGACATGAGGCATTAAACTTTTTTGCCTATTAATAAATAAGTTATATTTCAATATGAGGTTAATTAATTGAATTTAATTATTGTTTGTTTTTTTTAAATTTAAAACTTAAAAAATAATGGCTAGTTAAAAAAACAATTAATTAATTAAATTTTTGAGTGTATAACCTGAATAGTTTTTTTGACAGTATACAAGAAATAAACAATTCAATTTGAACCTCAGATTGATTTAGAAACATTTTAAACATATGTAGCATTTTTTAAGACATAGCACAATGTCGTTTATGAAATAATTACATCAAAATAGGTAATTTTAATGTATATAGGGAATACCAAATCCTTTTAAGAAGTTAAAGCTTACATTTAAATATACTTTAATTCTAATACGTGGGTAAAAATGGTGATTCCAGGCAAACCTTTCTCGTAACCAAAAATGGATGCTAGTAATTGGAACGTAAGTATCAGCAAATATTATTTTGGGTTAACTTGTAACATTATGAATTCAAAGGGCTTTCTTAAAAGTTTTACGCCCAATCAAAGTTTTAAGTGAACATTTCATCCACTGAACTCATCTCAAAAGTAAATACAACAATATTGTTTGAAATGACGTTAAATATGTAGCATTTGCTTTGATATAATTTGTAGGATATTCCGACAAGGAAAAACAGATATGTGCAATATTTGAGTAGTAACGTAAAGTGTCGAATTAAATGTTT